CTAAATCGTAAGCGATGAGAATTGCATGTGTTACAACGACGTCAGACGATTCACCAGACTACAATATAAATTAAAATGAAAGCGGACAATGAAAAAACACCGGAGAGATAAAGGAAGAACACAATAGTCTCAGTAAAAATCCCGGACTTGAGAGATCTGGGAACGACAATGACCCACTAACTCCCACACCGGGTAGGGTAGGGGAGAAAAGAAAACCAGACAAATGCATTTCGAAAAGATCATCTTACCTTATATAGCCATGGCAACGGGCATATTTCGATGATTGGATTTCATGGTATTGGTATCTTGTTTCATGGCATTTGTATTTCGTTACATTTTATGAATTTCGTTACGTTTCGTTTTATGTCATCGAAAAGGGATTTTGCTACAGATGGCGCGCCATACTTTGGTACGGTTTAGCGAGACACTTAAGGTTCTTCAAATGCGGCGAAATGGGTTAAAGTACGGCTTTTTACACTAGAAAACCATGCTTGTTTTTCTCGAATATATCTTTCAATTCCTCATAAATAGGTCTCTAACAGCTTGAAACACTGTCCACCGGCAGAATTTCATGGGCAAAAGTGATAAACATAATTTATTAATTCAACAAATCTTTTCAACATTAGTTGTCGTGGAACAATAGAGAACGCAGTAACGTCGAAGGTCCGGGTTTCGACTCCCGTCATTGGAACCTTTTTTTGTTATTACTGTTTTTTTTTGGTTGTTTCGTTTTGTTTTTTGTTTTTGTTTTTTTTCTAAAAAGCTGTTTTCATTTTTTGACAGGCTTAAAATTTACCGGTACACAAATTGCAAGTTCATTATCAGCTACGATTATTAATTCACGAGTAGCCATAAGCACCCTTTGATTGTTATCATCTCGTCTCCCGAACGGGTCCTTTTCGTTATTCCGATCACAGTGCCTCTATAATGCATCAAACAAGCAAACCAATCGGGTTTAATCAACTTTGAAAATACTTTCTACGTATTTTAATCCATTTATGACATATGAATTGAGTTTGATAAAGCACAGTAGGTGGGGGAAGGGAGCAAAAGAGGGGGATCGAACTAAGTAAGATATATATTTTTTTTCCGGTTGAGGGAGGGACGCAACCGAAAGAAACTGGGTACGAGTTCTTCATACTTTGTCCCAGTGCCCCCTTGGGCGCCTGATTGATTTCAACTTGATGATAGCTCATTCTACCGCTAGCTATGGAAAGCAATTCATTATTAGTAGTGTTGCAATGTTCCGAAAACATTGTCGTACCTTTGAAAGGTTTTCTAAGGGTAAATTACTGTCCATTAATATTTAACAATTATTTGCCGAAGGCGAAGTTAATATTGTTGATTAATCCCCGAGACGAAGTCGACGGTATTATTCAACAATATTAACTGAGCCTGAGTTGAAAAATTGTTTAGTATATTCGCACGAAGCGATCTCCACAGAATCAGAAAGGAAACCATTAAAAAACGATTAGTTTGATTGACGGGTGAATTCATGCGTGAACACGAAGCCGTAAACAGTGGATGCGCAAAAGTTAGATCTTGACAGTATCTTCAAACATGGCAAACGATAGTTTTAATCTTTTTGTATCGAGTTTTGTAAGCTTTAGCATCAACGGTTTAAAAGAAAACGCCGAAAATTTAAATTACTACCCAATTCTAAGAAGAAAAGTAGAGCTTTATTTGTTTCTGCAACATTGGTCCTGCGATAAAATCGCGAAATCACAAAACAGTGACAAAGCGACCTCGTTTTCCTCTGTAGTGGTAAACATAGCTTCGAGCGTGCAAAAAGTCAGCTACAGTAAACCACTTCACAATAAATCACGCTTTTTAAACACCATGGCCATGAAGTCTTTTCTTGCCTTCAAAGTCATCAGCACTTGGATATTCGTGTATTTTCAAAAAGGCTTTACTATGAAACTTTGGCAAAAAACCCAGTTCACGACAGCGATTTTGTTCTGCTTTATATTCACCGCCTAGCGCGGTGAATATAACGTCATAGTCCGAGGTAGCTAACCAATCAGATTGCCTGAATTACCAAGATCACTGAGTGTGTATATACTAATTGGAAATATTGTCACAGTGGACTGGATTTTCCCCACACAAGTGAAAGAAAACGAACTTTCATTCCAGTTCACACTCATTTTCCCCCGCTTCAAAAGAGACCTAGCGACTGCTAGTATGTACATGCACTTTAGCAGGAAAGGAATTGGAAGGGAAGTTGTCTGGCCCAAGACATGTAAGTAACATTTTGAAGAGGGTTGGATTACTTGGCCATTTATAGTTAATTCTTCATTCATCATTTGCATATCTCCACACGACTACACCTTCTTTGACCCCAAAATTTTGCGTATACTTTGTTTTAAACGTCTCCTGGGTTTTACAATCAGCCCAAGAAAATTAAAGGAAATCCTAACGCAAATTTTAAGGAGCAATTCGCCTGGATTAGGGGAGAATAGATGTGCAAATGCTGAATTTTGTCATATATATGTTAAAATAAACTTGTACATGTACGTTCTGGACAGCAAATTTGTCTCGCAATTTGAAGTTTCCTCACTTAGCTTTATTGAACTAAAAGCATTTAGGTGAAATAAAGTGTATAAATACATACTCGCTTACACATAAAATTTAAGTACATTTTGAAAACTGACTGCTGTTTCTGTTATATATAAAAATGATATTCATACATGCGTGAGTTTGTTATCTTTCATACTATTTGCTGATGATACTAATCTCTTTATTTCTTGTAAGAATAGTAAAGAACTTGAAACCCTTGTAAATAGGGAAATGAATCATCTACAAGTATGGTTTGAGGACAGTCAGTTGACTTTGAATCTAAAGAAAATTAACTATATTGTATTTAAATCCCGTAGGCAAAAATTCAAAAAAAGAATTTAAGATAACCCTGAATGAATATGAAATAAAAAAAGGTAATAAATAACCCAAGTTTTTAGGAGTGATGATTGATGAGCACCTGATGCCATAAGTTGCCGTATAATTTAAGAGAAATTTACATTTTGACGATTGAACTTCATTTTTTATGCTACACAGCGAAGTAATCATATACATAAGCAGTTTTACAGAACAAAATATGGCTATTATTCAATACAATACAGTGTAAAGGGATGAAGTTCTGGAACGCTATTCCAGAAGATTAAAGAACACAAAATCACAGTATAGTATGAAAAAATTAAATGTATCTTTTGTCACAGCAGTGTTTAGGCAATGCTTAATTGTGTGTAAGTTAAACGAAATTATTTATCGTTAGAATATGCTACATACAGTGTCGATAAGAAAACATAGTAAATAACAGGGAAACCTTGTAAAAGCCCGTAAAGGTTTCCTAGTCCCCCATATTTATGCAATTATGTATCTGTTCAATATAGTAAAATAAAGGTTGTTGGAAAAAAAAATTTCAAAGAACCATTTGTGTTCGATTCGTGGACTATTAGGGACCTTAAGATTTGAGGACGTCCTCCGTGTAGAACGCGACCGGAAGTTAAGATGAGCCTCTTGCGAGTATTGCGCATGACCATTCTTGGCTGGGACCGCGTTCAATCTCTGAACAGAACGCCATGTTTTGATTTTGGCGTCGTGAGTGGAACGTGAGTAGACTTTACCTGAAATTTTCATAAAATTGCACTTTCATTTGCCGATTTTTGTCACTTTTGTAATTCAGAACATATCTTCTTACTTTTGGTACGCCTCTCTTTTTCCACAGGTGCAAAGAAGTGAGAAAACGCTAACAAATCACTCTGTTCAATGGCCTCGTGCGTATCCGGGATGTCAGAGTAAGGATTTTCCTTCACATGTTTTTTTCATATTTTTTCACACTTGTTTGAGGGTAGTGATAACGTACTTGACAGAATCGACAACTGTGTGTATTTTAATGTTTTCAGGGACTGAAGGCGAATTTTGTTTAATTCAGGGGGAAATTCATTTATGTTCGATTCTCAAACACGACCTAAACAGTTCAAAAACGTGAAGTTTGAGTGACATCGAAAAAATAAAAGGTTTACGAGCATCAAGCAACTTTTATGTCACCGAAACTTTATGAAAGCTTTTGCATGGCTTCCCGAAAGTTTTTATCTTACTGTTTTTCAACCGTGTCAGCATAACTTACAGTCTTCAATTGCCAATTTGCCTTCAGTTCCATTCTAACCATTTTGCTTGTTGTTATCATTCATTTGTAATTCACCTGCCCTCCACTGACTATGGATTATCCTTAAGTTTAACTGGCTGTATTTTATTATACTCAGAATAATTTGTTCAAAACTTTGTTTACTTTTAAAATTGACCACCATGCTGTCTGAGAAAAAATTGATTTCTTTCATGCTTCATAGACAGTCTTTATAGTTTTGATCAGAAAAGAGAAATAAACTTGGATCAATTGATGTGAAAAAAAATTATGGAAATGTAGAGAAATTTACACATCAACCAACCCTGAGACTCTCTTTAAAAAGTGACGGTTGGTATTGAACAAGCTGGTTTTCAGTGGTGAGTGAATACATGTTGTAAAAAATGAATCCAGGTTAAAATGATTTCAACCTAGGTTGATTTGTATTTTTCTTTGTTAAGGTGGGTAATTTACATCTAAAACAAAGGAAAATACAAATCAACCTAGGTTGAAATCATTTTAACCTGGGGTTCATTTTAACCTACAACATACACTTTTTTTTTTTTTTTGCACAGTCTCAACTTTCCAGGAGTGCAAGTGTGGACTAAAGATCATGATCTACTTTTTATGTAGAGAAGTTTTATCAGTCAATCCATACTCGGCCAAAAAAATTCAAATGAAAGAGGAAGGCTGTGGGACAGAATCAGTGCCAACTTGAACAGCACATCAGATGTCTACTTTTCTGTCACAAAACGATCAGTGCGTGACCACATTGCAGTTTTGATAAAAAAAAATACAAAAAGAAAATGAAAGATGAAGAAAAGCCAGTGGAATAAACCCTGAACCCACAGAGCTTGAACAAGCACTAGCAGAGATAATTGAGATGGAAGAAGCTGCAGAAACTGAACATCAAGATGGTGATGGGAGAAGGAAAGAAAAAGATGAGGCTGACAAGCATAAGGCAGAAAGTATGAGAAAACTGGCTATGGAAAAGTTGGGAGAAACTCAGAAGAGGGCAGTTGAAGAGGGAGAGCAGGATTGTCAGAAGAAGAAGAGGAGAAGTGGGAATGATACAATTGAGTATCTGCGAGAGAAAAGTGAGAGTGACAAAGTACTCAAAGAGGAAGAGCTGTCACTCAAGCGTAAACAACAGGAACTGGAAGAAAAAAAGCTAACCTCATTTCTAGATCAGCAGAAATCCATGATGCAGTTAATGCAGGAGCAACAGCAGCAGCAACAGGTTCAAACTAATAACATCCAAATGATGATGATGCAACAGTCCCAGGCTTTCATGGCCGTGCTTGATAAACTTACCAACAAAATGGGCTAGAACTAGTGAACAACAAGTCTTTTCTGCCCACTAAGTTGTGTTTTAATTGGTTGTGTTTACCAGACAGGCTCTGAATATTAACAGATAAGACCTTGGCTTTCTGAAACTTTATTTCGACCTGTGTACTTGGTATTAGTCTCACCCTTTTTCAATGTTAAGGATTATTACATTTTAACTGTATAACTGGCTTGTATGTTTCAAGTACTTGTTGGATCTTTAATATTTCAATTTCATACATTTCACATATCAAAGTGAAATATTTTTTTTTAGTCTAAATAGACTGTCCAGTTGAGCTGTTATAGACAAACAACAGAAAAAATGCTTTGTTGCTGTTAAGCTGTTGTTGTTGTTGTTATTGTGATAGGAAAAAAAATAGGGCATTAAGCAAAAGTATTCTTGTAAAGTGGGGGATCCAAATTGAAAAACTCGGAAGTGGAATTTCCATATAGGCATGTCAGGGCATTCCTGAGTAGCACACAAACTATGTACATTTTTCCTATTTGACTCAGGCCTATCTTTAAGTTTTTCTTGAAGTCAAGAAAACAGAAAGAATTCACCACATCCCCAAACAACCATTCCACTGAGGTTCGCACTGTGCTCATTGCGGCATTAAAGTTTTGCATCTGGGGGTCAAGATTCCATTTCTAAATGGTGCTTGAATGTGTATTCGTAATGGATAAGCAGGATCCCCATAAATGCATAGTGGCTGGCCTGTTGGTGAGAATGCATAGCGTTGAAGATCATTGTAGAGGCCAGAGTCCCGCAGCATCCCTGCATCATGCTTTTTGCCCTCTGAAAAATACGAACAAAGAAACCCCAAAAACATTCATACTACATTCATGATGTGCAATGAACCTCTTGTCAAATTTGAAAAAAAAAATTATTACAGGATTTTCTAATGGTAAAGAGAGTGTTACATACATAATGGGATGTAAGTTTCAGCTTGGGAGAGAGGCTATCTGATTTTTAGATTTTTAAATTTTGGATGTAGCACTCCACCCTTTAGTAAGGCAAATACTCCACATTAATTGTGTTTGCTTTATTGGATCTTGGTTAAGTTTTAAACTAAACATCCAAAATTATCTTAAACATCCAAAATCTATTTATCCAAAGAGGTTTATTTATTTAAAGGTCAAAGCCAGTGACTTGTATGGTTTGGGTTCAGTGTATATATTCAGATATAATTAAAAATATTTAGATTAAAAAGTAACAAAAAGAAAACATATAACGAAATGAACAAACACAGACAGTTTTCTATATATCATGCAAACAAACAGAATATCAAATGGGGGCATGCGATTAGTGATTATGCAAGGATGTTCACTTGATGGTGGATCAAATGCTACAGCAGTTTAAAGAGCAACAGTGGAAGAGAAGACAACAGATCATTAGTCCAGTTGGTGTGTAAAAAGGTGATTCGATTTTTCAGGAGGTATCACTCATTAGCTCCTGAATTTTTTTTTTAATCCATTTTTTTCCCAAGGTTTTCAGCTGAGGACTATCCTCTCAAGCAGTCTCAAGGTAAGAAAGAAACTTGCAAGTGAAAGCTATACTTAAAAAAGAAAACTTACCTACAGGACCGTAAAGATTAGCAACTAATCCATTTGGCGTGACAACTGATTGAAATTTTAGGGCATGAACCCTTTTATGGCCATTGTATACCAGTCTTTGATTGAGGTCTGGTCGACAAATTGGCCGAACTGTTCCATCTACGAAGCCGAAACAGTTGTCCAGCGCTGCTCCTCTGTTCGAGACAGCGTCAGCATAGATCTGCAATGAATGGGCGTTCAGAACTGTGTGATTCCAACCAGTGATCCGGTGACTGTGGTGCTCAAAGATAAAATCAACAACTTGATTGCTTATCATTGAGATTTCAGGAACCGGTCTACCGAAAGTGCTCATCAAATCGCTGTATCGACATGGGTATGCAAGTCGCTTTAGCAACATACATAACGCTTCGGTGCCTCTGCAAACTGTCCCCTGTTTGCATGTGATCTTTTCTGGCAATCCAAGGACATTCAGCAGAAGAGGAATATCATTCTTTTGGAAGCGGAATTCTGTCTTGCATTCAGCCTCGTCTTTGTCTTGTAGGCAGAATTTCTTGTAATCCCAGTACGGATATTCTGGATTTTTCGAAGTGTTTAGGTCGTAAAGCAACAGAAATTCGTCTTCCGTGATCGAACCCTCGCAAAAGGTCAACAGAAGCAGGTCTCGCGCGTTCCTAAAAGTCGTCATGATATATAAAACAGCTTAATTCTCAGATGAATAGAAGTTTCACGTCTCGTTGTTTACGCGGAACTTCTTAAGTCAAAGTTCCCGCGTCTAGAACGTCGCGCTCTCCCCAGGCCCCTGTATGCCACGACGTTGGATTTTAAGACGCCGTCCTCAAATCTTAAGGTCCCTATTACTTTGAAATAAGACAAGTATTCTGCATTCAAAAGGAAGAGTGCTTGGTTCAGCTGGTTCAGTTTCACTGAGTTTGTTAAATGCAGTTTTGTTGTCATATTATTTGTTCAATTCAATCCAGCCATGTTCATTCAGCTCAATCTATAAGAAAATTGGGCAGCCCTAAAAGGTGGAATCTAGAAATGGAATCAAGAATCTAAATTATGAAAACAGAATTGCAAATGAAAATGATGTGAACTGCGGAATTACAAATTTAAAAGATATGATAATCACAGTGGTAATTGCAATTTAAAAAATTGGAAATTAACCCCCCACCCCCTCCAAAAAAAAAAAAAAAAAATTCTGGGATTTCAACTGGATTCGAATCCCAATCCATGGCCTCTGCATTAGCGCTCCCACACATTGGGAGCAGGCCAATCTGTTGAGTTCATCTTAACCCGTTAAAGGGATGAAACATGAAGATGATGATTTAAGCAATTGCAATTTAAAAAATGGCAATTACCACTGCTATGATTATATCTTCATTTAGAATTGCAAATGGAATCCAGAATGAAAGGGACTGTTCTATTTGATATTTCTAATGTGGTACATATCCTTGCAGTGATACCTGCTGCATCGTGGTCTTCAGAACGATCATTCAGTGCATTGTGCAGCTTGAAAACTGACCTTCGCCGCACCATGGAGCAGCAACGTGTCTGTAACAACACACTTATATTGAAAGGGCATATGCCAACTCTGTAGTCAACAATGACATGGATCGTGTCATTGATATCTTCGGCCGTCGAAATGGCAGACAGTTATATTTTGACTCCACTACACAACATCAACAGACAAAACGTAATGGCAAATAAGTTTATTTTGGGACGGCTTGGCGAGAACCAACCCTACAAAGTACAAAGTACTTATGTAAATACAATAATAGGTGATTACTGGTGAATACCTAATGTACAACACTTTTAAACTAGCTTCCACAAAAAGAAAAAACTCGTGCTACAAATGGTCGCTCTTGACCTGAATCTCTCAGTTAAGCACGCAGGCTTAGTGCCAATTAGGCTGCCAGTTATTCTGCATGGGGAAACTAATTAATAAAACTCTGACAACGGGAACACGGTAGGAGCACAGAGGCTAAGCAAAAAGAAAAACTGCTACAACTGGTCGATCTCGACATGAATCCCCCTAATAAGCACGCAGGCTTAGTGCCAGTTAGGCTGCCAGTTAGGCTGGGGAAACTAATTAATAAAACTCTGACAACGCATAACTGGCACAGGGAACACGGTAGGAGCACAGAGGCTAAGCAAAAAGAAAGAACTGCTACAACTGGTCGATCTCAACCTGAATCCCCCAAAGAAGCACGCAGGCTAGTGCCAGTTAGGCTGGGGAAATTTAGTAACTCAATAATTAAATAACTGGGACCGGGAACACTTCAGGAGCACAGGGGCTGACTGCCAGGAAAACTGGGAATTATCTCCACTAATGTACCCAACAAGGCACGTAGCCCAGTAACCAGTAAGGCTGCTATAAAAGGCTAGGGCAGGACATTGAGGGTAAACAAATGGATAACGACCCTGGCTAGAGGTCTGTAACATTGCCTGCAACCTAACTGCGTCAAACGAGACTTATGTCGCCTCCTAAAGAGCGGTTCCGGGACAGCTGACCTAGGCATACAAAGAAACTAAATACATCAAGTAAAGGAGCAGGTGCAAAACTGACATAACTGTACAAGTACATAAAAAAAGAAACGGGAAAAAGCTGAAAACTAGCAGAGCTGAGCTACCGTTTACAAACTGAAGTAAATGCGGTCAGACGGAGGCCAGAAAAAACCTGCCCAAAAAAACCCCGAAGGGAAAAAATGCGGGCAGGAAATCTGGGTAGGAACCAAGGCTCAAGCTCAAAGCCCTTCCTACGGGACTTTACAATGTAATCGAGAATAGGTTGCTCCTAAAAATAAATAAAACAAAAATGTAAGAAAAACCAAAGAGAGGTTGGTTCGTAAGCCTAGATGACGTACACGTGATATACGAAGCCTTAAATACCCCGATATGGCTACCCATGGTGCACCAGGCCTAGTACCCAGGCCTTGTTGTATCTCGTGCCGTCAAAATATTTATTTCTGCCTTCTTCGCGGGCTCATTCGTCAGAAATAACATATTTTGACTCCACTACACAACATCAACAGACAAAGCGTAATGGCAAATAAGTTTATTTTGGGACGGCTTGGCGAGAACCAACCCTACAAAGTACGTAGAGTGACAAAGTATTGGGCGAAATGACAAATGAAAGCTCCTGGAGCCCAAGAAACTTGGAAACTTAAAGCCTTTTTTTTTTTTCTTGGTCAACATCGGTAGGCATCCTTGGCTATAACGGGCTTCCAGCGGCCGAGCCACTGAAACACACTGTCACTAACCCCATTATAAGCAGCGGAAGTGGCCCCTTACGAACGCAAGGAATAAAAACCAAAAGTGGAAGGGTCAACCCCGACACTTCTCAGGTCCTTGCGAAATTAAAGCGTCTCTAATTGTGGTATAGCTGATAGGCTCCTCCTGGGAAACTAACTTAAAGGAGTTGTTTCCGCGAGACATGGGGCTAAAAATGAG